TACTCGCGCTAAATGTTACAAGGCTGATGCAGGGTGAGATCAGGAGAGAGAGGATTTAATTATGCTGACATTTTTCCAGAGTTTAGATACTGATTCTCTGTCTCTGTTAGCTGAGCCAGGCCCATTCTTCAGAAGTCAGCAGCCCTCCATGTGACTCACTTCAAATATCGCCTACATCTCTACATCTCTGGCCTTCCTATACTCTGCCTGTTTACACAGAGCAGGCAGCAGCTGAGTCTCTGCAAATAGATGCAAATCATAACCTATTGGAATTAGAAAGACAACTAAAAATCCAATAAAATATCACAAGAAAGTCTTGAAACTGATTAAATTACACAATCAGAACTATGTGTATGAATCAATGTTTATACACATTTGTCCACAGGAATGCATTGGTTATAACTAATATAACAAAAGCAATATTTTTACAAACAAGAATGACAAAACTGTGCAGAAGTTGTGACTACATGGTCATATTAACACTGCCAATACCTTTTCTTTGTTTCAGTTTTCACGCTGCATAGCGGCACTTTTGAATTAACGAATATTAATAAATATTCAAAGGACTTCCCTTTCGCTGGTGGTAGTTCTCACTGAGCAAATTGAACAGATAATAGAAAGAGAGCTAACAGCTATTTAAAATGTCATTGCTATTAGATCCATAATTCTGTTTGAGACAACAATTGAAAGTTGTGGTCACACTTACATGTAGGTTCTTTATCTAAATAAATAACAGAGCTGTAATATATTCTACAAATCCCAGAATGCCAGATGCCGCCTGTAGTTTTCTAACATGGTATAGTTATTCTCCACTGCTGACACAAACTAAACAAGGTTGAGAAATGTAATTGAAATGAATATCAAATCAAAGCCTGAAAGCTACATCCACACGGAAAAGTCAAATTCTCCCATATGCACAATTAACTTTCTTCCATAAAAATTGCTTTGGTTTAGATTTTCCTGACACCGGCAGTTTGGATAAGACCGAGCTGAGAAACAGCTGACACCAAATCAGCGGCCGCTCACAGTAATTAAATCCTTTCTTCAGGGCCTTTACAAATCAACCTTTAACTCCAGGGGATGCTGAGAGTGCATGGTGCAACCAGAAAGGAAAAAAAGGCATTTTATTAAGCCATCTTATAATACCAATTTACGTCTGGTGATGCAACTGGACAGACTATTCTTTGAATTCATATTTTTTCTAAAAATCTGAATTAATTGGCGTTTATGTGGGAACCGCATGCAGACCAGGGACAACCCCGGCCTGCCAATTACCTACGCAGGCTCTGTGTTTCATCTGAGGAAGATTCCAAAAAAAAGCTGCGGCTCTTATCGGACGCAACAGAGCAAATTAAAATTTCACTCTAGTGTTGCTAATCAGCAGTGTACTTGCTAGCAAAGACAGAGGTGTAAACAAACCGACATAAACAAACGACTGACGGGAGGGATCAGAGAGCGAGAGACGGAGGGAGGGAGAGACGTTGTGAGAGAGGCGGGGTTAAAGTTGGACTGCTTAGTGCTGACAAAGGGGCTTCAGCAGTCTCTAACACACACACACACACACACACACACACACACACACACACACACACACACACACACACACACACACACACACACACACACACACACACACACTGAATGACACAAACAGTAAACACCACCCTTAAAAAAAAAAGCCCCCCAAACATACACACCTGACTGGACCCTGTGGGCTGTCTGCCCGATGCCCAGAACATGAGCCATAAATTAAATTCCAGCAGCCACAGTCAGGCCCATCACTATGCACAAGGCTCCCTGAGATAGCCGCATAATACAATGTGACATTGATGCATTGCTCCTATTATAAAGTCTTTGTTCGTATCACACTAATAATTCATAAGAGAGAAATGTAAACAGTATGCACTGGAGAGCACTGCGAGCAGGAATCATTTCAAGGTAAGCACATTAACCAAGGATGGGATTGGCTTTCGTCTTTGATATGTAGAACTACTGAGCTTTGATTACACTTTTAAAAAAAACAAAGGCAAAACACTGAGCATAATAGTGATCAATTAGAGGAAACCGTAGATATCCATTTATTTTTTGTTTTATTAGGTCAGATTTTAAACGAGTTACTGCTGCAATTATGTGAGCAACAGCGCTATTTCCGACGCTCTCGTTATAATCTACTAATTACTTGTATTGTTCTGTGTGTGTGATATGTGTGTGTCTGTCTGTGATGTCTTCTGATTAGTAGATTCCAGACAGATCCTTGTTATACATTGAGACAGAATAGGCTGTTTCATATGAATGCCTAAGTCATTAGGAGTGCACATGTGCAGTGTATTACTGCTATAGGAAAACACACATTGAGCTGAAACAGCATGGACTTAAAACAGCTGGCGTGTTACCAAACATGCAAACACACAATGAGGCTGAAGGTCACAGACTGAACATTGAAAATGGTTATATTATTTGTCAATGAAATAGGCCTCAGTTATTTGTAAAACTAGGACGATGTGATTTTGATGATCGAGCAGGTTCAACACACACACCTCTAAATAACATGTGTCTCTGGTGTGTGTTCACATGCACAACACACACACAAACACAGTAGGGTTCTGTCTTTATTTTGGTGAGCGGCCAGACAAGTGAGCGTGAGGTGTGTGGGGGGGGGACAGCGGTGTAAATGAGGTGCACTCGTTTCGCTCACAGCTTGCTCCTGAAGAGAGGCAGTGGGGAGGGAAATTGAATTTGAAAGAGGGGAAACTGTGCCAACAGGTGACGGAGGCGTGCTCCGACCAAACGCACTCTGAAGTGAAGCGCAGGCATATCACGGGGCCAATTTGGAGGCAGTATTATGCACTACACCGCTCGCCTTTCTCACACAGCCTGTCAGTGCGCAGGAGAGCGCTGCTGCCGCTCCAAATATGAATTAAACATAGGGCTTTTGTAGCGTGAATATACTGCTGCTGAAATGTAGGTAGAGCTGAGGAAAAAACCCTGTCGCACATGCACTCAATCCTGAAGTGGCAGACTGAAAAAAAGAAATTGCCATAATAATGATAAATGTAAGATTTGTTCAGGGAGCTGGTTTGTTGGATATATATAAGCTGAACATAAATAGTATAGAATATACCTATACTGATTTTTTATCAGAGTTATAAGTCTCCATGGTATATATATTCTTAATAACCAGTTTGCACAAACCCAGTAATAATTAAGGAGTGATTTTACTGTAGGTTTCTAGTGACCATTTTATCAGTGCATAATTTGAGACAAACAATACGGCAGCAAACGCTCCCACGCTAAAACATTCACTTAATTTCCCCAGCATCCAACGCAAATTGCCTTTGATTGAAACAATGTAGGCTAATGAACTGCTTTTGTTTTGCAGACAGTATAAGCTTTGCTCAACCACCTTACCCTGCAGTCGTCCAGATGTGCCATCCTGCAGTACGAATAATTTAGTGCATCAAAAACAACTGCAGGATAATGGCTGTTTTTTGTTTTGGGGCAGAGTTCTGAGCTGGCAGTGCCTCCCTCTCCTGTCTGCACGCTGTTGACACATCGGTGTTCAGCACAAGGTTTGGGGTCACCCAGGGACCCCTGAGTGCAGCCCCCAAAAACAGGGGGAGGAATACTTTCTTCTAGTTTTATCAGGGGTGCCCTCATGCAAGGCATTCAACCTCAAGCTAACAGAGGTTAGCCAACAGGGTTGTTGAATAAAAGGGTTTCCACAAAAACGGACCTGTATTTCAAAATGTCAATGCAACAATTATTATATTATGTTTTAACTTCCCATTTTTAAGATATGTGTGTTGGACAATTTTCGAAAAACTATAATTAAAATTTTAAATTGCAAATAACTTAAAAAAAATATTCTTCAACAAAGAATACAAGTAGAAAAAGTTGTTTAAAATGTTAACTCACACATAATTTCCTTTCGGTCATTAAGAGCTGACATTGAAGTGTTTTTGCTCATCTTTTCAGTGTGGAAGAATTATGAGAATAATTATCCAGATCAGCCAAAACCTTCATAAAAATTAAATTATTGCGTTGGAAGGCCTCCAAGTCTGGAATATTCCCATCAGACATGAATGCAGCATCACTACAATGCCATGGCCAAGGAGCCTTGCAAGTATCCTCCTTTTTTCTGAGTGCAGTCTGCCCAGCGGGACCACAGGGAGCCAATCAGATGGCAGGCTGGGTGTCAACTGTGAGCTGGGAGTGCGGAGAGCTTTTAGCCAGTTTACCTCCACTATTCAAATCCCGAGCTGCATGGGAATAAACGAGGCGCACTGACATGCTCCAGCCTCCAGCTCGAGACTGAGCGCGCGGACAGGAACACACTGTTTCTTCGCACGGCCACGGTGTCCGTTCATTTTTCAAAACACGAAGAGTTGAGAATGGTTAGAGAACGTTGCCGTTTAAAATTAGCGTTGATCTACATATTCTAAAAGGCATGTTTTACTTTGTTCGGCGAGCACCTCGAACACAACACGTCCTCTAAACAGGGCGTTTCGCAACGTGTCTAACACCACGTCGGCAGAGTTGAATCTCTCTAACATTAATGCTGCTTTAAAACTCATATAAAAAAAGAAATAAAGTGGAGGGTGAACAACACAAATATGATCTATAAAAACACGAGTATGGTCACCGCCTATGATTTAGCCTATCAGTAATTACAGCCTAATTTAAAGCCAAATCAAGAAGCATTTTTTTTAGAATTTAAATGTTTTGCTTACGTTATCTTCCCTTTTTCTGTTTCTGTTTTACACTTTTGCCTACAATTAAAAAATATATATTTCTTCTGAATCCCCTTGATACAAATATAAACCAAAGTTATTTTCCTGAAATGATCTACATACTTCAAGAATCATCCACAGGTAATGTCCGGGGCATACGGGCCTATTTGTTGTCAACACACACAGCACCTTGTAAAAATGAGTGACACCAGCATGGAGAAAAAACAAAGTTCACTGATCGGCTGACTAATGAAGTTTCCAGAAACTTACCTGAGCCCTGCCGAGGCCTTGCCCTCCATTCCCTGGACTCATTTGCGGATGGTTTCTCTGCTGCCCTCCCCATCCATGAGCCGAGTTGGCTCCGTACTGGGGCCCCACGTCTTTCCCTAGGCCCATGCCTGCTTGCTGCTGCGCCGTGGGGCCGCTGTAGTCTTGATATGCACCGCCATAGCCCCGCATCATGGGGCTGGGGGACGTCAGCAGTTGGTTTAGAGTCGGGGTGGCCCCTGAGGGATGCTGCTGCTGCTGCGGTTGCTGCTGCTGAGTTTGTCCCGGGAACCTCTGAAAGCCCCCCGAAGCAGCTCCCAGAGGGGACTTGCTGTGGCTTGCTGAGGAGTTGCTGCCCATCATCATGTTCCCAGGTTGTCTGCCTCCGGTGGGGCCCATCATCCCGTAGGCCCCTCCGCCGTAGCCTGCCCTGTACGCCGGGTACTGATTGTACTGGCTGTTCTGGTACCCCGCTTCGTGGGAGTTCTCCATGCTGTTCTGTGCCGAAGAGTGCGTTATCCCCATCCCACTACTCTGCTGCTGCTGTCCGCCATGTTGCTCATAACAAGGCCTCGGAGTGTAATAGTTGTTATTAAACTCAGAGTTGTTACTAGTTGGCCCCAAGTTTGAGTGTTCATACCTGGTACCCATCATCCTCTCCGCGGGTTTACAGGTGAGCTCCCCCTCACCTTTTCCTGGCATGTGTTGCTGTGGCTCTCCCTGGCCCCCCAACAGGTTCTCTTTGCCGCCATGGTGCTGGTGATCCATCCCCCTGTCCCCACGGGGCCCCTGGCCGTTGTTGTTGGCGATGTTGTTACTTTGGATCTGTCGCTGCTGATGTGGCGCAAATTGTCCGAACTGCGGCGGCTGCTGCTGCTGCTGCGGCGGCTGAGACTGAGGGGGATCTCCGCTCCCCACACATTTCAGCTTGTGGTTCGCAATCAAACCCGTTTCCATCGAGGAAGTGGAGGAATTAGTCGAAGCCGATGCGGACGTGAGGTTATTCCCATCTTTGTCGTGGCCGTCCGAAGCGTTGTGAGTCGTGGAAGTTGAATGAACCATGTTGAGCTCGTTTCGGCGGTGATGGTCTACATTATTCAGAGTCCCATCTCCGGAGCCCAGCATCGGTACAGTCCGCTGTACGGTCCCTCCTCCTCCTGATTTCCCCGAATTGAGCTCCGGACACAAACCGCTTGACAATTTCTTATTTGTGTTATTAGTTCTGGTCGGAGCCGATGCAACTTGCGCAGCCATGGTCACTCCAACATCTCAGCGCGCAATGACAGCGAGCCCCGACCAGCCGTGCACGCACGGAGAATAATACAAGAGGGAAGAAAAACACAAGCTGGGAGGAGGAAAATGTATTCAGTGGAAAAGCAAGCTTTGTTCTAGCTCTGGTGGTGGTGTCGAAATGGTGCGTCAGTGAGGCTTCATGTTGAAAGTTTCTCTGCCAGGTTTAAACGAAACTTTTTTCTTCCCCCCTCCGCCTCTCCTCCATCCCGGTTCTCGGTAATATGTAGCAGCGTCTCCCGGAGCCCTTGTGGCCCAGCATGGCATGAGAGAGAGCGGGCTCTACCAGCTTATCCACCTCCAGGGCTCCGACGCGCATCGCATGGAAAATCCGGACTGGATCGAGCCATTACGCGCGCTGCATTTTGATGTTTCTGTGTGTTTTACGATATTTCGAAGGTTGATTTTACAATAAAAAGGATATACTGATGACTGTATTAATTCGACATGACATTCTTGTTCTTCCTGTCTTTAAAATATCCGGGTTTCTTTTAACAATCGCAGCTCAGAGAGCCACGTATTGACCCCTTCCCTTGAGTTCAAAGTGCATATTACTTTTAGACAAACAATGACCATGACAGATTGGGCATTTCCACTTTACGCACGAACACTGTTCCCCCGGTCCACACGGATTCTTCACATAAACCCACCAGCAGATGTTAAGTTTACCCGAGCTAGTTCCTCCACTATTATCCAGACCAGCTTTTCCCTCATCCCACCCTCTCTGTCCCTCGGCTCAAGCCAGTTCTCTGCAGCTCTGACAGGAGTCGGACACGCAACCACAAGCTGTGCGCAATAATGTTGCCATCGGAATAAGAATGTAATCTCACTTTATAGCAGCTATAATGTTGGAATATCACCACAGAGTTCATTCACTATACACAGCATTCAATTCTACCCAGCTTGAAAATGAGTAACATTCATCTTCAACAAAAAAAAGATAGCAATTGTGTAATAATAGTAAACCATGGACATATCAAAACTATATAAAAGGGCTCAGTCTTTGTCTCAGCAGATACAAATGGTCATTCAGTACCAGTAGGTAACTATAAACTCACTGTAAGCCTAGGAATGCATTATGAATAGTATGAATATTAAAGCCATTCTTCATTAGGGTCCTATTTGAATAAAAGGCTACACTCTTTAATTTCCTTCATTGGCTTTACTTTATCAGAGAAGAGTCGGTCTGATATGATAATGAAATAAAAAAGAGAGGGGAAAAAAGAAAAAAATCAACCCCAGGCTGCAGTGTAGGACCACACAAAACCAAAGTCTACAAGATATGCTATCCCATCAGTGGTATTCAAACATGAAAATGTAAAATAGTGCTTAGTAAAGAAGCTGGGGTGTCTGTTGGGACTTGAATGAGCAGAGGGTCTGCTTTGATGAGATCAGATGCATTTGATCAACAGAGGGAGCTGTGGATGAAAGAGAAGGGGTGAGGGGAGGAGGGGAGGGAAGAGAAGGATTTGGGGATGAGAGTTGTGCAGAGGATGGCCATGATAATGATTATGACTGGTGGAAACAAAATGCAATGATGACATTGACAACGAAGATGCCCGTGATAGATGTAATGATGATTAAGTAATGGTGATGACCGGGTAGTGATGGCCCTATTTTTTTAACACCAAATTGTTGCTGCAGGACACATGTAATGGTAAAACAAGGAGGCACAATTCACTCTGCTTATACTGAGTGCAGTGTGAACTCACTATGAAGCCATGTCCATGACAATGGGTAGACCCCTGCTGGAGACACAGTGTTGGTACAAGCTTTACAAAATAAATAAATGTATTACAAAAAATACAAGCAGGAACACCTTCAGTAGGACTGAGAAATTAGTTAGAAGGTGGGACAGCTGCATACAAAAAAATTAATTTCAGCTTAAATCCCACATTTCCCAATAGAAGCTCACTCAAATAAAAAAAAAGAGAGTGACATCCCTGGAAACCTCTCCCAGCCTTTTGCCTTTATGAGCCCATATGGCAGAGAATAAAAGCTATAACGTTGTTATGGTCGGTCTACAAAGTCTCCATGGCGTTCACCATTCAATGTACTCAGGCCCAGCCTATAGCATCAACAAGACCAGATGGCTATTTATCTATAGGACACCCCGAGAAGACAGGATGTTTACACCCTCCTTGTATGCGTGAGAGGAACAAAAATGTGTAGGTGATAAAAAAGTGACTCCTGTTGGTGTGTGTTTGAAAGACAAAACGATATCTCCTTAAATGATCCGAGCATTTCTTTCATGTTAGAGATTCATCAGTGGTTGTGTGCACCTTTTCTGATTAGAACAAGCCTCATCCACACCCTTCCTGCTCTCTGTACTTTGTGCACATGACAATTCTGGCTCCCATCAGCGCCCCAGATCAAAGCCTCGGCTCTGATCTCATCTAGAGCAACAGTGAGGCTGACAGAGAGGGGACCTGGAGCATTAGCATATTCTATGATGGCGCCAGGCTTTTCAAGCCGTTGCCTCGGCTGCAGCTCTTGGTGCGCGCGCTGTGGCTTTGCAACTCTAATTTTCCTCCCTCGCTCATTAAAAAAAGCCCACTGTTCTCCTATTAATTCGCAGACACACTGATCTGTTTGAATGGCGAGGATGCGTGTGTGAGAGGAGGAGGAGGGAGGTGGAGGAGGGCAATGGCTCAGCGCATTTGCATTTATGTTTAATTTATAACCTTCAGGGGCCCCCTGATGCAGCAAGATTGAAACAATAACTCCAGACAAACACAGGGAAGAGTGGAGGAGGAGCCGGAGGAGGGTGGATGGAATTAAAAATATACAGATCTGGGATGGTATGTGCTTTGCATATGTGTGTGAGAGAGTGTTGTGTGTTTGCTATGGTGAGGATGATGTTACTGCGTGCATATTTCTGTGAGTATTCACTTGTGAATACTCAAGGTGCATCTGAAACTCACACACACATATACAGAGAAAGAGAGAGAGGCAGAGGTCTCCAATCCGCACGGGGGATAACATGCCATGGTGAGTGTCTGTCAGGAGGAGAGCTGGAGTCTGTTCTGGGGGAGTCTGCAGGGATCTCCCCCTAGCAGCACAGCAGACAGCAGCAGCAGCAGCAGCACAAGCCCGGCCAAGCACAGAAAGTGGGTCAGCCCAAAACACACACACACGCACAGATACACTCTCACACAGCTCAGGCGGATGCAGCCCCGGTGTCACACTGTGGGTGTGTTTGAAAGGAAGAGAGAGCGTGCAGGGAGAGAATGCATTGTTGATGTTTTGTGTACGTGAGAGAGAGCATGGCAGTATATTTTTGCATTAGTGATGTTGACGGGGGGGAATTGGTTTAAGATGAAGGATAGATGACTAAGAAAGAAGAGGGAGGGGGGGTGTGNGGGGTGTAGACTAGACAAAAAAAGCCAGCCAGCCATTCTGTGCACACACCCTATGGAAGTGCATCAAATTGATCCATAGTCTTTTCATTTCAGGCTTGGGTAAATAACAGCATTTGCATTGATCAGTTTGCAAAACCAGGCAACGATGGGCTTGGGAGCGTGTGTGTGTGTGTGTGTGTGTGTGTGTGTGTGTGTGTGTGTGTGTGTGTGTGTGTGTGTGTGTGTGTGTGTCATACTTTCTCTCTGGTCCATTCTTATTGCTG